GTGTGTGTGTGTGTGTGTGTGTGTGTGTGTGTGTGTGTGTGTGTGTGTGTGATCTCCCGCCTGTTTCTTTCTTTCTCTCTGTCTCACCCGCTTCCTCTCTCCTCCTCCTCTCTCCCTCCACCCTCTACGGATGTGCCAACTCCAATCATCTCAATTCCAAATCCCTCTTTTTAGAAGCGCACCTTGAGAATACTGAGTGCTGAGTTCTGACACTTGGCTCAGCACCAAGTGTTTTCTAAGTTTGTGGAGAAAAAAAATTTATAAAAGGGGGGGGGGGGGGGTGAGAGGAGTGATCGAGACACGGCGAGCAAGGCAGGGAGAGAAAGAAAGGAAGACAATCTGAGCTTCAAATCAGAGGCTGGGGAGCAATCCCCTTGCCTCCTTTGCTCATCTAGTGCAACATATGTACAGTCTCACTTTATTTTTACTCTTGTGCACCCCCCACCCCCCATTTCCCATTATTCCTTGCCTCCCCTCCCTGCCGAACACCCCCCACCCTTCCCTGGTGGTTGGACGGCCGTTTAAATGGACATTCAATCCCAATCAGGGAGCACTCCAGGAGCTCGCTGGGCTGCCGAGCCCTAAATGGAGGAGGAAATGGATACATTAGGCGTCTGCGGCGCGCCCTCCATCGCCGCTGATAATGGAGTAGTAATGGTCAAGGAGCCGGGCTTGGAGAGAGTGTCTGAAAACCTGGACTCCCTCTGGACACACACAGAGAGTCTGAGTGATGCGTCTGAACAGCTGGACGGATGGACGGATGGACGGATGGAAATAAAGGGGTGGAAAGCTGATTTGGGAGTGCGCATGTCAGGAGGAAACACAGGAGAAAAAGTCATTTCTTTTTTTTAATTTTCCTTTTTTAATGTGTGTCTGAAAGGTGCAGGAATGGACAGGTGGGAGCGTCAGAGGCAGCAGGGACGGGAAAGCTGTGAGAGACAGCCAGAGGCAAAGACGAGGGAAGAGTCGGGGTGGGGGTGGTCGGGTGCCAGAGCGAGCGAGTTTGGGGCTGTTAGTGCCCTCAGTTATTACTTCCATCTCCCATTCCCAGAGCTTTCAGAGCTGCTCCGCTCTGAGGTGATGTGTCCTGAAATGTGCCTCTCCCCGCTCGACGTGGAAGAATGCAAGGACAATGGCTGGGAGCCGAGTGCTCGACGCAACCTATCACCCCACCTCCACGAGGTTCATTATTCAGTAGCTCTAAATTATAAAGCTTCTGCTCGGTCTAAGTGCTCTTTTTAAACTCTTAAGTTCTATCATTTCTGGAGCTAACTCATTTGGAACCAGCTCTGGGCCGTTATTAACCTGTCAGCTGCAAATGAAGGGTGTATCCAAGTCAATAGAAAAATTGACCAGCTTCTAAATGATTCATCGCAGGCAAACCGGTGCATCACAATCGCTTCAAACAAGCATCGGCTTTATGTCTGTTGACAGATATCTATTGACAAATGATTACCAGCAATTCCAGCAGGACTGCAAATCCCGCCAAATGGTGGGAACTCATATGCTTGTACATTTCTCCATAGGTTTGCTGTTCTAGTAAATGATAAGCCGTTACAGGAAGCGCACTGTTGCCGCAGTAGCAGAGGTGAAAGTTAAGTACAATTTGGAGGAATTCAAGAAAAAAAATATTTACGACATTTTTTTATCAGCTGAGTTAATTTGCCTTTTAGGCTTAAATCATAACTAACAAGTGAAATGCTGCCTAAAGTTAATTAACGACCTGATGTTGTGTAAAATTCTTATAATTATCTTCAAAACAGCCGGCTGCAATATTAAAATTAGCTGAAGATGTAAATAAAAGCAGCAAACCTGCACTAAGTCAGTATGTTATAATACATATAAAAGGAATCCTCTCTCTGCTCTGCTTTTGCAAAACTTCATTATTATCAGTATTTATGTTTGATGTGGAAGAAAAATCTAGAAAAGCACGTGATATAAAATATATGGAGCCGAGTAAAAACTAGACCGTGATGATTATGTATGCATGTGTACTTATTCAAACCAGGTACTTCAGTAAAAGAAAGGTTCCACCTGTCTTGTCGGGTCTTTTTGCACTGCAGCGTTGACGCTTTTACTCAAGTCTAAATACGTCTTCCAGCGCCGTGTAGGTGTGATTTAAAAAATCTAAAACGTTCAGCAACTTTGGTTCAAAAGTGACCATCCTGCCCTCCAAGACCATCTCCAGTCCTGTGCTGTTTTAAGAAGTCCTGCTCTCCGTACTACTGGATCTGCTCCTGTGTCAAACT